CACAGTAGTGTTGAAAATACCGCATATTTATCAATATTCAGCTTGGAGGGACAATCTAGGTACATATCGGTTACTTTCTGGTCTTTCTGCGCATTTTTTCCTGGTTTTTTTTTTATTTTTTTTATTTTTTTTATTTTTGGATTTTGTATTTTAACTTGGGGGGGGGAAATATAAAAAAATACATTACTTAAAAATAGTATAATGGTATAGGGGTCTCCTGTTTGAATTTAGAATAGAATAGGAATTTTAAGGGGGTTGGACTAGAACAGTGGTTGCCAACCAGTGGGCTGTGGGCCATGAGAAAATTTTGGTGGACCGCAGAGAAATGTCCCCCTCAAAGCAATTAATCCAGGCTGCGCGGGAACACAAGGCTGTGCCACCCACATGGACCGCGGGAACACACGGCTTGCGTCACTTGCATTGCAAACAACACGAGGTAGTGAGGGGAGGGGGGAAAGGGCGGAGTGGGGGGGAACTTGCCCCACTTGCCCCACGCGCCTGGCCTGGACACCGGGCTGCTTCTTTCTGCTTCTTCCTTTCTTCTTCTGCTTTTGGCTGCACGCAAGGAAAGCAGCCAAAGTCTTTCTTTCTCTCCCCCAAAATCCGCCAGAAATGAGTCTTTGGGACCCTGCAAGGCCTCCTGCCCCAAGAGGCTGCGCCGGCAAAGACTCGTTTCTGGCGGAGTTTGGGGGAGAGAAAGAAAGACTTCTGCGGCTTCTGCTGCTTTCCTTGCATGAAGCCAAAAGTCTCTCCCTTTCTCTCTCTCCCTGACAACGGAGGTGGAGATGGTATCCTGCGATCCCAAATAAAGATTGATCGATCGGTAGGAAAATGGGGTGGGGAATTTTCCTGCAGACTTTTTTTGGGATTTTCCCAGGGTCTCTGGTCCGCGGGATTTAAAATGATGAGTTTGGGGGTCCCTGAGGTCCAAAAGGTTGGCGACTCCTGGACTACAAGCCAGGATCCTTCCAGCCCTACGATTCTATGCCCCGGAATGAAAAGGGAAAAACGCTCTCTGCATTTGGCTGGCTTCTCTTGCTAATCTTCCCTGCACAATCTGGATTGGGCGCCTGAAAACCCCTTTCCCTGTGTTTCCTTTTTCTCTCTCTTTCGCTCGGCACGGTGGGGGTGGCGAAGGGTGGGGGCTGCCAGCTTGGCAACAGGCCCCTTTCTATTTGCCCCACTGTCTGCAAACAGAAACCTGACTGTGTCCTTGGGCCCCTTTGCAATTGATGGCGGAGCTTGCTGGAATCGGGGAGGAAATTGAAACGGCTCGGGCGAGGTGCCAGCTTGGTGAAGGGCATAAACCGCAGCCAGATGAAGACAGTTTCTGCCACAGCTGACGTATCTTTTGCAAACCAAAGTACACAAAAGTAAACCAAGATAAAACCCAAAGGACACATATAGACTGGATGCAGCCAGGCTTAACAGCAGTAACTGGGAGAGGGATCTTGGAGTCTTAGTGGACAACCAGCTGAATACCCTGTTTCCCCCCAAAATACGACTTACCCTGAAAGTAAGTCCTAGCTTGGTTGTTTTTTTTAACCTGTGCGCCCAATATAAGCCCTACCCCCCAAATAAGCCCTAATTAAGATCCCACCCACTCCAGAGTGGATGGGTAAAAATTAAGCTAAGGTAGGGATGGGGGAGTGGAGCTGCTCTACTACTTTAGTCAGGTGTAGCCAGGCCTCGCACCCCTCAACACCTGCCTAGCCAGCCCATTTCTTCTGCAGCCGGCAAGGTTGGCCAGGCTTTCATGAAGGCCTCTGGAGCTGATAAGAAAGTTCCAGATCGATCAAGACCTCAATTATGGGCTGCAGAGGCCTTGCCAGCCACAGAAGAAGGAGTTCCTGGAGGCCTCTGACAGCGAAAAGGAGGCCAGGGGCGATGCGCGCAAGTGAGGTTAGTCAGTAGATGACGTCCCCTGAAAATAAGACCTGGCGCCTTTTTTTGGTGGCCAAAAATATATGAGATAGGGTCTTATTTTGGGGAAAAACACAGTAGGAGCCAGCCGTGGGCAGCGGCAGCCAAAAACGCCAGTACAATCCTAAATTGTATTAACAAAGGGATACAATCAAGCTCAAGGGAGGTACTAATACCACTCTGTAAAGCCCTAGTAAAGCCACACCTAGAGTACTGCATCCAGTTTTGGTCACCACACTATAAAAAAGAGGTTGAGACTCTAGAAAAAGTGCAGAGAAGAGCAACCAGGAGGATGAGGGGACTGGAGACAAAAACATATGAAGAATGGTTGCAGGAACAGGGCCTGGCTAGTCTAGGGAAGAGAAGGACCAGGGGAGACAGGAGAGCAGCCTTCCAATATCTGAGGGGCTGACATGGAGAGGACGAAGGAGTCAAGCTATTCTCCAAGGCACCCGAAGGCCAGACAAAGAATAATGGATGGAAACTGAACAAGGAGAAATTTACCTTGGAAATAAGGAGAAACTTTCTGACAGTGAGAACAATCAACCCATGGAACAGCTTTGCCTTCAGAAGTTGTGGGAGCTTCATCCCTGGAGGCTTTCAAGAAGAGACTGGACTGCCATTGGTCAGAAATGGTGTAGGGTTTCCCGCTTGGGCGGTGGGTTGGACTAGATGACCTCCAAGGTCCCTTCCAACTCTGTTCATCTGTAATCTGTAAAGTGGGGACGTTTGCAGTAGAAATTGGGAGGCTGAGCCACTGGGGAAAGAAAACCTTACCATTCGCCTTGTAGCCTGCCGGTTTCTCCTGCCACGCTGCATTTTAATTCATCGATATGACAGGGTTGGAAGGGGGACCTTGGAGGTCTTCTAGTCCACCCCCCCGCTCAAGCAGGAGACCCTATGCCAGGTCTATCTTCGGCTTACAGCTGCCATGGAGCCCCAAATTTCTTTTGCTCATCGCTGTTAAGTTTTGCCCATTTTAAGGACCGTTCTTGCCACAGCTGTTATGTGGATCGCTGCAGTGGTGAAGCTAGTGATCCGGTTGTTAAGTGAATCTTAACAACCGTCGGCTTGTCAGCAGGTGCTAAAAGGGGGTCGTGTGACCCACTGCGACCATCATAAAGATGAGTCAGTGGCCAAGCGTCTGGATTTTGATCCCGTGACCGTGGGGGGATTCTGCAACGGTCGTAAGGGTGACAAACGGTCGTAAGTCACTTTTTCCAGTGCTGTTGTAACTAGTTGAATAGTCACTAAACCAATTGTTGTAAGCCAAGGACTCTCTGGATCATTTCAGACCTTGGAGGTCATCTAGTCCAACCCCCTGCTCAAGCAGGAGACCCTACACCATTTCAGGCGAATGGCTGTCCAGTCTCTTCTTCAATATCTCCAGTGATGGAGCACCGACAACTTCTGGTGCCAAGCAGTTCCACTGGTTAATTGTTCTCCCGTCTGGAAATTCCTCCTCAGTTCAAGGTTGCTTCTCTCCTTGATTAGTTTCCATCCGTTGCTTCTTGTCCTGCTCTTGGGTGCTTTGGAAAATAGCTTGACCACCCACCCCCCACTTCTTTGGGGCAGCTCCGCCCCCCAGATATTGGAGCACTGCTATACTAGTGTGTCTGAGGAATAGATTGAGCAGCTGGGCATTCAGAGGAAGACCCAGGCCCACCCCCTCTTCATCCTAGGGCACGCAGGGAAGAACGGAGAAGGGAGCAACGTGGCTTATGGGAGAGGAAAGGGCCCTGATCCCTTTCATTAGTTGCAGCTGGGAGAACAGGATATAAGTGGGGCGTTTGAACACGGCTCCTTGCTGGAAGCAAAGCGTGCTTTATCTTGGTCGAGCCTTATCTGGATTTTGGCATCCTCCCAACTGTGGGTTATCCTTTGAAAGTCTGCAATCTATCATCCTGGCCTGCCTGCCGTGTTAATTACTTCAGTGTGGTTTGTGGGTTTTTTATTTTATTTCTGATTATCTTTACTTTGGGTTCGGGCTGCATTTCTGCCCTTCGCAGACTGTTTTTTGAAGAGTTTGTTATCCAGCTGAGGAGAATTGGACACTGGGGGCCAAGTTGGAGGACTTAAAGGGAATTTATTCTACTTTTGTGACTTGGTTATTTTTGTGTCACGCCCCGGGTCATCACATAGTGTCTGCTGGCAGAGGGCAAGTAAACCCTTGGAAGGACGGAAGGCTGAATCAACCTTGAGCTGGTCAGGATTGAACTCCTGGCTGTGGGCAGAGTTTGCCTTCCAGGCTTCATTCTAACCACTGTATCACAGAGGTGATATTCAGCAGATTCTGACCAGTTCTGGAGGAACCGGTAGTGGAAATTTTGAGTAGTTCGGAGAACCGGCAAATACTACCTCTGACTGGAGATTTTACAGTATCCTTCCCCTGCCACGCCCAACAAGCCACGCCCCGAAAGAACCGGTAGTGAAAAAAGTTTGAATCCCACCACTGCTGTGTCACCAACTGGAAGGTGGGATGGAGGGAAGGAAGGAAGGAAGGAGGAATACCAATAGCCCTTAAACTTGTATACACTTCACACAGGGGTTGGGATTCAAATTTAGTAACAACCAGTTATGTGGGTGTGGCTAGGTAGGCGTGGCCATGTGACTGGGTGGGTTTGGCTTTTTTTGAAACAACCCTCCCTTCTTTTTTGCCTCCTGGGAGGCGTTTTTGCTCCCAGAAAGCTTCCCTGAGGCCCAGGAAGGCAAAAAATGGAGCATGGGGTGGGGCACACAACACAACCCCACGCCCGGCACGTCCCTTTTTGCCTCCTGGGCCTCAGGGAAGCATCCTGGGCGAAGCAGTAAGACGGAAAGGGGGATGCCAGCACAGCTGATCGTCGGAACAGCTGATCGTCGGAACAGCTGATCGTCGGAACAGCTGATCGTCGGAACAGCTGATTGTCGGGAGGGTGAAAAATTACCTGAAGGAGTGACTGGGCAGGGGAGAATGCATCAGCGATGTTGCACATGTGCAATAAGGACTGACTGGGAGGGGAGGAGAGGGGCGAGTGGAGACGTTTCGGCTGGACATTTTCCTTGATCCTTTGCTTTCTCGTTTTCCCTCACGCCAGGAAGAAGACCGTATACAAAAGCGTCTTCTTCTCCTTCGCCCTGATCGTAACCATGATGCTCTTGCAGAAGGGCAGTGTTCCCAACCAGCTCTTCCAGAGCCCGCCGGCGAAACCCGCCCTCTCCCAAGAGTCGCTCAAAACCCAGAAGAGGGATGAAGTGCCGTCTCTTGCCAATGCTTTCTGGAAAAAGGCGGTTGAGGTTCCCCCGCCCGCCGAAGCCACCGAGAAAGGGGTGACGTCCTGGGACGTGAAGACCACCAACTGCACGGCCAACCTCAACTTCACCAAGGAGGAGTGGTTCCGAAACCTGGAGCCCAACTTCCAACAGTTCCTCTTTTACCGGCACTGCCGCTACTTCCCCATCCTCATCAACCACCCGGAGAAATGCAGTGGCGAGATCGAGCTCCTGATCGTGGTGAAGTCGGTCATCACTCAACACGACCGCCGGGAAGCCATCCGTAGGACGTGGGGCCAAGAGCGAGTGCTGGAGGGGAAACAAATCAAGACGCTCTTCCTCCTGGGCATCGCCTCCAAAGAAGAGGAGAGGGCCAACTACCAGAAGCTGTTGGAGTACGAGGATCGGATCTATGGGGACATCCTGCAGTGGGACTTCTTGGATACCTTTTTCAACCTCACCTTGAAGGAAGTCCATTTCCTGAAGTGGTTCAACATCTACTGCGACCAGGTCCGGTACATCTTCAAGGGCGACGATGACGTCTTCGTGAGTCCCGAGAACATCTTGGAGTTCCTCAAGGATCAGAAAGGAGGAGACCTCTTCGTGGGTGACGTGCTGGTCAAGGCGAGGCCCATTCGCAAAAAGGAAAACAAATACTACATCCCCAACTCTTTATATGGCAAGACCTACTACCCGTCGTACGCGGGCGGAGGGGGCTTCGTGATGGACGGGCCCTTGGCGAAGCGTCTCCACAAAGCCTCCGAAAACCGGGAGCTGTACCCCATCGATGACGTCTTCATGGGGATGTGTCTGGAGGACCTCAAGGTGACCCCCGTGGCTCACACCGGCTTCAAGACGTTTGGCCTCGTGAGGAACAAGAACAGCAAAATGAACCGCGAGCCCTGTTTCTACAAAAGCATGTTGGTGGTCCATAAACTTCAGCCGTCCGACCTGATCAACATGTGGGATTTGGTCCATAAACATTTGTCCTGTTCTCAAAAAGCCAACATCCTTTAGCTCAACCCGATTTTTTGGCCAAAGAGGAAGATCGCCGGTGCCCCAAAGATGCTGGGGAAAATTATCTGACTTCTCTCCCCGCTGCCCAGCTTTCTAATGAAGTCGAAAGAAAGCAAGATGACAGGGACCGATCGTGTTGGAGGGGAGGGGTTTGTTGAAATAATTGGAAATGGGGTGTGTGTCTTTTTTTTTTGTTGTTGTTCATATTTTATTTGTTCCCCTGTGGGACTTTTGAAGGATGTAGAAGAAAAAAAAAACTTGAAAAGATATGGAGTCAATGGCCAGAAAAGGGAATTGACTATTCCGGGAGCGATGAAGGATGACTACCCCACGTTGGGCAGTCGAGCAAGTCACACCTTCCTTTATTTGTGCCCCTTTTTTTGGTGGTGTGCTTTACAGCTGGAGGCTGGTCCTAAAGCTAAGACATTTATTTCTAGCTGTGTGTGCGTGTTTGTGCGTGTGTGTGTGTGTGTGTGTGTGTGAGAGAGAGAGAGAGAGAGAGAGAGAGAGAGAGAGAGAATGGGAAATAATGAATGAATGTATGCATGTGTTTCCAAAGCTAAATTAAAAAAAAAAATCTGTTTAGGAAAGAAGAAAATAACCCAAATTGTAATGTGCCTTTTTGGGGTCATCCACCTTGATAGTGTGTTGTGTGTAGATTTCCTTCTTTGTGCAGAGAACATTTTCTTTGGGGGAGTAACCACCCTGCCAGCGCCTTGTTTTCGGCCTCCGTAGCCTCCATTAGCACTCTGACAGCCAAAAATGGGCCTGTTTTTGGCCGGCAGAGTGCTGCTGGGAGGCTAAAAATGGGCCGCGGCAGGACCACATGCACCCCTGAAGCTCATTTTGGCCAGCAGAGGCACCGTGGGCCAGTCCTGTGATATTTCCAGGCCAGCTACGCGGGCCAGATTTAAGCACTTCATGGGCCGGATGTGAGCCGTGGGCCTTGAGTTCAACACCGCTGTTCTAGATGCCGTAGGCCCCTATTTCCCCCTGACTCTAGTCTATATCTCTTTCTGAGACCCGGTTATGGCCAAAGATTTGATAGATCTTTCCTCTTCTTGGGGAGAATTTCCCCACAAATTTGGTAGACGCGGGAATGCCGTTGAAACGAGAGCTGTTGCCGAAGGAGATTTGGGTGGGTCTCCTTTAAGTGAAGCTCGGTCGCAAATTGTGAGTCCAGATTTGGCCCTTGGATACGCAAAACCTTGGGTTTGTTCAAGACGCACATCGCTGAGAAACTCCTTGTGAAGAGGGTTAACTTTTACCTTCCTGTGACAACAGACAAGTTTCCGTCGCCATCAGAAGGGGACGACTGGGGTTGGTTGGTGGGCTGAGAAGGTGACCACGGTTGGGTCCTGCCTGGCAGAGTTGTGGTGCCACACTCACCAAATGATGTGTCAGCTCGCGTGCAGACACAGGTCTGTCAAAGAAAGGAGGATTTCAGAGTTTGAGCTCCAGGTCTCAGTGGTCCACACCATTGTCCAACATCTGGAGAACTTCAGGTTGCACAGATCACTGCTTTCCCCCGTCTACCTTCTAGCCAGGCAAATTCTCCCAACGAATGGTGAGAAGATTATTAACCAATGGGACTTTTTTTTTTTAAACCTCTCTGCCGAAGACTTCCTACTTTCCACCCATCTCAAAAAGTTCCCCCCTTGAATCTCCATGACGGTTCGGGAAGCAGAAACTGGATGTCGGACTGGGGATTCACACCCGTGGAGTTGAACACGGGGAGAATGACTCTGAGAGGTGGTTGACGTTCTTCTTCATGGTTGGGTCCTCCTCTAGAGGAGATCCATGGCTCCCTCCAGTGTGAGATTTTTTTTCCTGGTGCCTGGCTGCGTTTTGTACTTCGCATATCATTGTATCTTGTGGGAGTGGGCTCCTCATCCAATGACAATTCACGGCCCGCTTGCCATGGCCCACTCACCACAGCCAACTTGCCACGACCAAGTCGCCACAGCCAACCTGTTGCGGCCAATTTGCTACGATTGTCCCTCTCCATGGCCAACTTTTGCTGCAGGACAAGAGTTACACTATCATCGCAGAAATGGTGGAATAGAGCCATTAAAAGAAAGGATTCGAAAGAATGAAATGTGAACGATAACAATTAAAATATATTTTTTTTATTTATTTTAAATACTTGAATGGATTTGTTCAATTGTTGGCCTGTAGTGAGTTGGCCGAGGCAAGCTGGCCAGTGGTAGGGATTCAACCAGTATTACAACCGGGTCGGTGCATTTAAAAACGTCTCTAGAACTTACCTTCTACTGCAGCCCCAATGAGTAAAACGGCGGAGGAACGGCCATCTGCTCTGCCTTGTCGATCAGCTGGGCTTCAAACAAAGAAAATATAGGACAGACTAGCACAGGGGCAAGTGGACAGGGAAAACTCAATGCCGAAGCGGTCTGAATCCCACTCCTGAAGCTGGCCCATGGTGAGTCATCCTGCGGCGAGTTGGTCGTGGTGAGTTGGCCACAGCGAGTTGTCCCATTCCGCCATGGTTGACCATGGTGGAGTTCCCAGCTGGGTCAAATTCAGAAATGACTTGAGTTGGTAATTGAATGAAACCCTGGGTTCTGCGATTGGACTGCTTCTCAGAGGGGCTCTGATCAGAGGTGGGATTCAACCGGTTCGCACCGGTTCTACCGAACTGGTAGTAATGATTCTGTGCAGTTCAGAGAACTGGCAAATCGCCCCACCGGCTGGGCCTGCCCGCCCCACCTCGCCCTATATATCTTGCCTTTGCCACGCAGCCAAGCTAATCTCCATGCCTTGCCTCGCCTGCATGCTCACATTTTCGACAAACCGTTGGTGAAATTATTCGAAGCCTATCACTGGCCCCGATCCCTGCTGGCTCCAGAATGACATGGTTAGAGGCCTACCTTACCCAAATGGGGCTGTCCCACTTCAGAATAAAAGAGTTTGGACTGTCCTGTCCTCTTCTATCACCACACCTTCTACAAATAAACCTCAGCTCCTGAAAGACAGCAACTGAGCAATGGGCGAAAACTGATAAAATACTTCCTTTTCCTGGCCTAACTTTCCAAATGGGGCCAAGCTGGCTGACTGATGGAGAACCCGGACACAAAGAAGGACATTATTGACTGAGTCACAAAGCCAAGTTTCATGGCTGAGGTGTGTCCAAAATGCTAGGCGTTTCCTGGTCTTGCAAAAGGAGTGCAACACACACTTATTTCAGGCCCACTTTGTTTGCCGTTTGACTTTCACAGCTGATTCCTTTCTCAGATTATGCTGTGTTCAGTGTTCTTAGCCAGTAGCCATCCATCCCCAGTTAAAGGACCCAAATTGCAATCTTTTTGTGTGTGTGTGTGTGTGTGTGTGTGTGTGTGCTAGGATTAACCCTGGTGCCATTCGCTCTTGTTTCAAGCGAGATGGGGCTGAACATGTGTGCCATTTCCCCCCCCCCCCAAAAAAGGTTCAAATTTGACGGGTCGGCAATTAATGACGCCGTTAAGAGTATTCATTAAGGTTTCAAATGGCCTTAATTTTAAAGCAGGGGTGTCCATTCTTTGGCAACTATAAGACCTGTGGATTTCAACTCCCAGAATTCCCCAGCCAGCCAGCTGTGTCTGTTTCTTTTTTCTCTTAATCTCCTAAAGTGGAGAGAGATTGCAGAGGAAGGGATCGCAAGAGAGTAAGCTGTGCTGGCTGGGGGGTTCTGGGAGTTGAAGTCCACAAGACTTAAAAGTTACCAAGGTTGGACACCCTTGCTTTAAATTGTTCCACAAAGCCCAACGTCTCTATTTCAGACATGCGCGCGCGCATGCACACACACATACACACACACAAATGCAGGGAATTTTTGAAGTGGATCTTTGGATGAGTGATCCAGGGCTTGGCTGTCCCCTCACCTCTCAGCAAACCGACTTTAATGACCATTTGGGGTGGCCGTAGATCCCACACGTGTGATGGTTGAATGGCGTGCAAAGAACGTGAGGCTCTCGAGTGTGAGGCTTACACACTTGTGTGTGCAAAAAAAACCCAATCCTTGATGTTGCACCACTTTTAGTATCCAATCTCAGTTACTGGACTGCGTGATGAATACGGAATACGATATTTTTCACTGAATAGATGAATTGTTGAAATGACCGGACTGCAGGGCCGGCCTTTAACAAACAGAAGCTCCTTCTACTTTGGACTAATGGATGTGCACAACTGTGAAATTTTAATTTGTGATTTCTTTTTTCACTCCCTTTTTCAGAAGTGCCCAATTTTGTTTTGAGAGGCTAATTTGACCAGGGCAGAGATCTTCTATTTATGAGAAAATCCACACATTTGCTTTGTTCTTTCATTTTATTTTTTTGAAATTACAGTTACCTGCAAAATACAAGAATGTTATTTATAGCAGGTACACTCTGGGTGTATGTGACAAGTTCTGTGTAGCTTGGATGCGGTGGAGATGCCTATACGAATACAACCGGATTCATTCATATTTTGATTTCTTAATAAAAATGGATGTTTCCAAAAAAAAAAAAAATCAGCCTGAATGTTGTGATGTCCAGGTTCCGATTGACAAACCCAACTCAGCAAGCACTGACGGTCCGATCTGATCTCTTTGGGCTAAACCAGGGGTGGGATCTGACCGACATAACAACCGGTTTGGGGAGTGTGCGCATGTGCATCAAACGCACGCTACATGCGCCTGCGTGCTACCCTCTCCGGCAAGCATTTACCTTCTCCAGCTGACAAGCGGCACTCAGGTGTGATGCGCAAAACAGCGGAGGAGGAAAACACAGCCACTAAAGAACAGCCTAGAGCCCGGGTGGGCCAAACAGCAGACCAAAACCTTGTCCCAGCGAACCGGTTTGGTGTCAGCTGCTCTTCGGAGCTACCGGTTCTATAGAACCGGACCGAACCGGTAGGATCAACTTTATTTGAGTACATCATTTTGGCACAGCATGAAAGCAAAACCAGCTCTGGTTAATTCCCGTGCTCTTTGCATA